GAAGGGAGGGCAGGGGAAGGGGAAAAATAAGAACCAAGGTACATCATGTACAGGTACAAGATCCCAGTGATGAATGTAACTGTACTGTATACCTACAATGTTCCAACAAACTTAATGGAAAAGAAAAAAGATTATGTGCCATGATAGTCTGTCTTGCCGCAGGCCCACAAGCAATGGGACCCATTAACCATGGACTAAACATGGTGAAACCACAAGCAAAGGACACCCTGCCTCTTTGTAAGTTGGTCCTCAGGTATTTTGTTGCAGTGACAGAACGCTAACACAGACGGGCTCACAGAGAGGGTACTCCTTCACAGCCTTGGGGCTCCCCCACTTGGCTCTGTGCAGTGAGGAGTGCTGCCCACCCCAGACCGGCCCCGCACCCAGTCTGCTCCGTTTCCTCACCACCAGGCAGTGGGGGCCCGCAGACCCCTTGCTAGCTCTGCACCAGCGTAAAGCCACCCGAGGCAGGTGCTGCCCAGCTGCCCCTCTTGGCTCGGCTTTGCTGGGCTCCCTCACCCACTTCCTCCTCCCCACTTCCCTGTTGTCATTTCATTATCGCTAAGGACTTCCTCACCCCTGGCTCCTCTTTGCACCTGGCTCCACATATTGACCCAGAAAGTTCCCTCTGGAACCCCCCTTTCACGGCCCCGTCTTGGCTGAACCCTGGCTTTTCCCTGGGCTTCTGTTCCACATTTTGCCGTTTGCAGTGGGACTATTTCCACATCCTCCTCACTACAGATGCCAGAGTGCCTCACTTCAATCCTTTGTTCTTCCTCTCTCTACCAAAGCCCAGCTAAAGCCTTCAGGGACCCCTCTGCTCCTGTGAGCCACCACTGGTCCCTCTCTTGTTGGGAAGGCCCCTGCTCATGGAAGGCTTGCAATCTGGTGCCACTGCCTTGCCCCTCAACACACAGCTGGCACTGCTAGTGGTAGCCTCAGGGTTCCTTCCCAACCATCAGCCTCTCTGCTTCTGCCTCTCCCTCCCAGGGGCAGACCCAGGCCCTGCAGACACCAGACCTAGCCTCCTGTTCAGTGATCACAATCTCCTCACCTTCCACTCCCTCATGTCCTTGCTCCTGCCCTGCTCTCTGACTTCTGACATGCCAGCTCCACCCTCAACCCTCTGCTCACCCCTCTCCTTCCCTTCACAGCTTGTCGGAACCCTCCCAGCCCTAGCCTTCAGCTCTTCTGGCTTGAGAAAGCCTCAGTCCCTTGTTCCTGACATTTATCCCACCCAGGGCCATTGGAAGATGCACACACCACAGACTCCACTTCACATTCACGGCCCCCTCCTGTTGGGCCCGTGGTGCTCCTATCAGTTCTTGTCCTCGTCTTTGATCAGCTCTTCCTCCTATTTCTCCCAGGACTAAGTGGCCCCACCAAGCCTCACCATGACTCTTAAGGCTTCTACTTGGTCTCCTTCATCTCACCAGAAGGCAGTGCCTCTTACTTCACTGAGAAAAAGTCAGACTCAGTCTTGAATTCCCCTCAACTTCCCACCCTCCAAACTACAGACATACAAAACAAGATGTTAAAATGAATGTCTGGGTGAAGCATTGCAGACTGATAGATGTCAGATAGGAGGTATACTGGGAACCCCGAAACATTACAGGAAACCTCTGCAGTAGCCTCCAGTCTCCTCCCCAGTGTATGATGCAGGCCGGAGGGGAAAAAACCTAAAAGAGAGAACTAAGAGAGACAGAAAGCAGGGTGCCAGGATGACCAATGCTGGTGCAACTGACAAAGGTGCTGGTCTGCCCAAATCACCGATTTTTATTAGTAATCAATTGGGGTAAAGGCAAGCTATGTGCAAGGGCAGAACTTCGTGCGAGGATGCGCAGTTGTGCAGTTTCTATGGAAATTAATGTAAGCAAGCCTCATAAAGGACAAGACAAAGCATTCTTGAATAGGAACAGAATAGATAAAATGTATGGTTGTAATTAGAACACTGTCCTTCTAGTTAAGAAGGTTTTAGTTGTGGGAATGGATTTTGAGTGTGAGTCACTCTGACCTCAGCACATAGGCTTCGGCCAGACTCACTTCTATAAACAAGCCAATTGTGAGGTTAGCTATTTACAGCCTGCTTTGGGGCATAATCAGTATTGCAGTCTCTGGCAGAAGTGGGTTGAGGGACAGACCATCCTGGGATCATGCTCATTTTCAAAGGCTCATAACTGAGGAGCTCGTAGGTGAGGCTAAAATCCACAGCATGGATATAAAGGAGGTTGAAAAGAAGATTAGAATGGATTCCTTTGGAGAAGGAAAAAGTTGTGTTGTTGGTACAACTACCTTTGTCTCCTCCGAGAGGGGGAGCAGGTAGATTCCCACTAGTCTAGATGGCTTTGAGGAGGACCATGGACATATGAGCCTGGAGCCTAGCGGACATGGGGGTCTGGTGGTACTTGATATTTACCTAAGGGCTCCTAGGCAGAGGCAATGGGAAGAGAGAGAAGAGACTTTCTGCAGGGGACCCCAAAGGCAGGTGTGCACCTTGGGAAGGAGGTGGGGTTCAACAGACAGATGGCTGGCCTGGAGCAGGTGAGCCCAGTGGGGTGGCTGAGAAGTTAGGAATTGAGGAGGGAGGAGAATGCAGGACTCTCATCATGGAAGGCTCAGTGTCACGCCCCTGGTGCAGGCTTCTTATGGACCCAAAGGGGTGACAGACAGAGGAAAGAGCTTGCCATCCCCTGCCAGGCCCAGAAACCTCAAAAGTGTCCATGACAGTGCCAGTCAGGCCAGCATTGGCCCACTCTGGTGTTCACTTCCCCTCCCTTCTGCTTGGCTGCAGACAGCTCTGTTGCCAGATTTATGACCTCAGGGACAAGGAGGGCGGATGTGTGAGGTTGGCTATGCTATGATGGTCACCTGCAGCTGGCCCAGTGGGGAAAAGAGAGGGGACACTTTCTTTGCCTTTGAACAAACACAGGACATTGGTTATTACCTGATACTTGTAATTGGAGAATTGACCCTGAGTTTCCAACCTGAGCTGACCACCGAGACAATTTCTAGCTACCTGTTTCCAACCTAGACTTCTCCTTCCAAGTTTTGTTCTTATTCCCAGCTTTCGAGTCCTCTGCAGCTGCCTGTAGTTGTTGCCCAGGCTCCTCAAGCTCAGCGCGTCCAAACATACCAGGCAGGCCTCTCCCTAGGAGCAGGAGGCTCCCCTCTCTGTCAACGGCAGTGCAGAGTACCCTCCTCTGCTGCCCTCAGCCCTCCTCCCCTGCCCAGTGGTGCCTCAGTTCTCCCACAACTCCTCTCTGAACCATCATGAAAACTGAACTCAAGCGCAGTGATTCAGTTCCCGATTGCTTTTTTCTATTTGAAACAGTAAAGAAACTTGTCTCAAACGGTTCCTTTGGGTTCCACTTTGGTTTCGCTTGGCCTCGGATGCTTTAAAAATTCAGGCTACATCTATGCCTTTCTTGTTGGCAGGCAAGGACTAAAAGGACTCTCCACTCAGTGGTCGTGTGATGGTCTGCACTATGCACGCTGGCCACTGTGGCCACGAAGGGGACCAGCTGTCACGTGGTTAACTCGATGACCTGGAATAAGCTTATGCTGGTAAGGAAAATTATTACTTTCCCAGAGAACTATGGATCCAAGCATTTATGGCTGTAGACCTTCTACCTGGCCACAGGCAGAAATGTTGCTCAAATTCAAATCCCTGAGACCCAACTGCTGTCCTCTTTGAAGCCTCAACCTCTCCATGCCCTCTCTCCAGACAGAATTGCTCAGTTCTCTGCTCACACTGTGCTGCTCCTTCAGCTTGGAACCTGCCTCTTGAAGGAAGCCTGGCCTGTATTCTGAACTTGAACATGCGCCTCTGTACTAAGGCTCCAGGTCTCCAGGTGGAGGCTGCCATTACTTATTGCATCATAGTTGTCTTTCAAAGTGTCTGTGTCCACTACTAGTCTGTGGATTCGAGAAGTAAGGACTGTGACCTATTCGGCTCCGTATGTGTGGGACCTAACACAGTGCCTGGTAACAGTGAGGGCTCACACGATGTTTGTTGAAGGGGTGAATGGATGAATGAATGAATGAATGAATGGATGGATGAAGAATGAGTGGATGGTACCTTTCTGTCTTCCAGATCGATTTTGTTGCCCAGCACCACCATGGGGTAGGACTGCTCCACAGGGATGATCTTGGCTAGAACGTCATCCCGCCAGACATCTAGGGCCTTGAAGGATTCCAGATCAGTGACATCAAAAGCCAGGATGCAGCCATCGGAGCCTTTGTAGAAGGTGGACACCATGGAGCGGAACCGCTCCTGACCGCCTGTGTCCCAGATCTGGAGGGGAAGAGCAGCCACACCGTGGGGCCGTGATGCCAGCTGGAGGGAGATTTGTCAGGTTAGAGTGGCCAAAGCTTCCCCTTCGGGGTGGGGAGCAGGAAGCCGGGGTACAGGTGTGGGCCTGACCCTCACCCAGGTGCACCTCAACACCTCTGCAGTGTTGTTCAGCATCCTGTGAGCACTTTCACACTTGAGCTTTCATTTTGCCTTTGGCTTATGGGCAGGGGTTGCTATTCTCATCTGACAGATGTGGAAACTTGGATCCTGAGAGTGACTTGGCCAAGACCACCACCAAGTTTTCTGGGGGACCTGGTGCCTCTCAGCTTCGCAATGAGTCAGACGCCGGGTATTTCCTGCAAAGAGCCAGAGAATATTACAGGCTTTGCAGGTTGTACTGTTCCTGTTCCATCCACTTCCTTTGTCATTGTAGTGCAAAAGGCAGCAGATAAAGAAGTGGGCATGGCTGTGCCCCAGTGAAGAGATCATTTGCCAGTCTGCTTGGACCACTCTAGCTCCTGGTGCACTTTGCTGTGTAAGAGGCAGTGCAGGGAATGTGGGTGATTTTCAGGTGCATACACGGGGAAGGGAACGAGAGGGTGGCTCACCTGTAGCTTCAAAGTGGTGTCATCCAGGATGATGACCTTGGAGAGGATGCTGGCCCCCAGCGTGGTCTGGTATTCCTCGTAAAACGTCTTGTGCACATATTGGTGAAGGAGAGAGGTCTTTCCCACCCTGAGGCAAAACCCAAGACACGTATGAATGCACATCTACAAACACACATGCATGAACCTCTACACTGTTTCCAGAATCTCACCAGGCCCCTAACATGATTGTCGCTTCCTGAGATTCTGATTCATTTGTTGGCTCTGGCCCAGGAACCACACTTAGAGAGACAGGGGACTAAGGAGTAGTTTCTAGAAGCAAAAGCCAAGGGAAGTGCTCGGGTTTGGTGAGAGGTGAAAACCCCACAGCAGGTTTGTCCTGGGTGTGGCAGGCAGTGGAAGGGCGCAGACTTGCCGGCCAGCTCATGGGACTTGTGAAGCTTGTTACTGCTGAGCTGGGGCCAAAACCACCCGTTCACTGCTGGTCTCTTTCTCTCAGCTGAGCTCCCTTCCTGGAGGTGGATGGACTTCTGCTGCCACCCAGAATTAGAAAGGGACCCAGGGGAGGTGGCCTCCTCTCCCGAGTCAGGGGCTGTTTCCTGACCCCCATAACCTGTGCTGAGCTTGGCTTACCCAAGTGCTCCGACAATGATGAGCTTCAAGTCCATCTTCTTCCGGGGATTCATCAAGGGGCTCAGAGCCTGGAGGGAAACAGAGGTCTTTCATGCTGGCCATGGTCCCTGTGGCCATTGTCACCGGGGTTGGTCCTTCTCAACAAGCAGATCTCCACCCTGGACCTGGGACACAGGTGGGGCCGTCCCCCAAGGAGGAACAAGATTCAGCAACTCTCAGCCACCCTGCCCTCACCTGCCTGGGAACCCTACAGGGGCCACAGATCACTCACCCTCGCACTCCACCAGCACTGCTCAGAACGTAGCCTGGAATGCCAGGAAGGCTGGATGGGTCTGAACAGAGGCCTTGCAGACAGCCAAGCCTGGAGCCAAGGGTGGCGGGCAGTGCGGGAAGGGAGAAGGGGGACAGCACAAGGGGCCCATTGTCAGTACTGCCTGGAGCTGGAATGGGCGGCCCCGTCCCCCAGCCCGGGTGTGGCTGCAGTTGTGGAGTGAAAAGGCTCTTCTCTCTGCAGCTGGCAGGGCTGAAATCTGTACATGTTGCTGGAAAGCTACTTGGCAGCAAGTGCTGAGAGTCTTAAAAATGTCCTGACCTCCACTTCTAGGAATTTGTCTTAAGGAAATAACCAGAAATGCAGACACTTGTTCCAGAATGTTCTTCTCAGTACTGTTTGTAAATAGCCAATAATAAAGAAGTGGTTAAATCATGGTGCACATGAACTATTAAGCAGTCATGAAAATGGAGCCCTTGAGTGTTTTATAACAACATCGGTTCCTGCAGCTCATGCACTGGGATATAAATGAAAAACAGAAGGTGCTAAACTGTATATGTAATATCGCCCCAAAGATTTCAGTATAAGCTGATAGTAAATTGAATTTGCTCTGCCTTCTTTCTTTTTCTTTTTGATGTTGGGGATGGAATCCAGGACCTTGTGAAGGCTGGCCAAACGCTGAACACTGACCCCCTCTCCCTCGCCTGAAGCCTTCAACATGTTCTTTTGAAATACAGGACATACACGTTGTGAAATTGCTAAATCCAACTAATGCACACATGCAGGACCACACATCCTTACTGCTCTCCAGTGATAAGAACAGTTCGCAAAGCCCTGTGCTAACACTGGCATGGCCCACGATGAAGGAAATAGGAGCCCACAGTGGGGAGTCACCAGGAGGAGCGTACAGGGGCTGCTGACACCAGAGAAAGTGGACGGCCCAGTGACACAGGACAAGGCAGAATTCAACAGAGCCAGGAGGTGATGCTTCCTGAGGGGGAATGAGAGAAGCAGACCCTGGGAATGGAGAGGTGGTGACTGGGTTTTGCTCCAGGGAAGGGAGGAAGCAGGATGAGGGTGGGCTGTAAATGTCCTGCAGCAACTCGTTTGTCCTCTCAGCACACACTGCCACCCTTCAGATGTGTGAGGAAGGAATTCAAGGTGTTAAAGGTGTCATTGCCCTCAAAGGAAGGCAGCCAAGGGACACTTGGCTCAGAAACTCCTAGAAAGGCCCCACTTTGGGGGTGGGGTGGGGGGGAGCAGTGGGGAGCTATTTCCTGAGGCTTGGGTAAATGTGCTAGCTTAGCCGGAGAGACCAAACAGTATCTTAGAAAGGGAATCAGAATGAAAGGGAGGCAGAAAGAAGTGGGGGAAATCCAGCAGTGGCTGAGCACCACCGAGGGTCTTCCAGGTCTGCTGACCACACGTGACCCTTCCCCTGCGAACCGAGAGCACACAAGCTCTGAGAAGCGAGTTGCTCGTAACGGGTAAGCTGGTATCAGGCAGAAGGCCAGAGAAGACTTCTGCATCCTGCTTCCTGACAACCTGAGCTTGAACCCACGGAATCTGGGGCCCTGGGCTCAGGTTTGGAGAAATTCACTAGGTCCTAGGAGAGCAGGGGGAGCTGAAGAAAGGCAGCCAAAGCAACAACATACAGCAGGCACCAACGGAACTGTGTCGCTGGACAGCAGCTCTGTGTGAAGACAGCCACAGGGCTGACCCGTCATGCTGGGCAGAGGGCTGCGCTTACAGTGCCAGAGTGAGTCCCACACTGTCCACCAGCATCAGTTTCCCAGCCACTGTGCTGAGAGCTTTGCAGGTATGCAAATAAGCAATTTGCATGTTGTTATGAGAGTTACTTGAATCAATATTTTTATCATAATGCATTTAACACTTAATGTGTTGCTATGATTCGTTTACTGGCACAAATTAAGGGCTCAAGAAATGTTAACTACTTCATCAGGCACAAAAATAGCCTATGAGATTGATGGTATTATTATCTCTTTTTATCACCAAAAAAAAAAAAAAAAGCTTACAGAAGTGAAGCAGTTCATCCATCCCTAAAGATACATAAAGCCTGCAGTGGGAGGAGCATGGACTGGAGCTGGGATCTGAAAGCAGGCCCAGCTCCAGCAACTATGCTTTTTCTTTTCTTTCCTTGAGAGGAGCTGTACTTTGCTGCCCAGGCTGGACTTGAACTTGCAACCCTCCTTCCTCGGTCTCCTGAGTAGCTGGAATTACAGGTGTGCATGCACCACTGTGCCCAGCAACAGACTAGAATCTTAACTGGGTTCCCGTCTGCCTGGACCACTAGAATGAGGATCACACGCTCTGCTCCCCGGGGCCCCATGAGAACTCCTATTTGTTGGACCTAAACTTCGACCTGGTGCAAGCGGCAGCCGGAGCCGCTGCGCGCCAGGCCCACGGAGATGTCCTCATCTTCGCTGTCATCTCGGTCTGGGAGGAAGTGGACAGCTTCACAAGGAAATCGGTGCCAAGGTGCACAGGCAGCAGTGCGCGCAGGGCTGTCGTGGTTCTGCAGCCGGGGCAGCCAGGCGGAGCTGCAGCCCCTGCCCCAGCTCGAAGATGCCACTTCCAATGAACAACAAGAGCTTTTCTGCCAGAAGTTACAGCAGTGCTATGTACTGTTTCATTTCATGGACTCTGTTTCAGACTTGAAGAGCAAAGAGATTACAAGAGCAACACTGAATGAACTGGTTGAGTATATTTCAATTAATCGTGGTGTAATTATTGAATCAGCATACTCTGATATAGTAAAAACGATCAGTGCTAACATCTTCCGTATTCTTCCTCCAAGCGATAATCCAGAGTTTGATCCGGAAGAGGATGAGCCCATGCTTGAGGCTTCTTGGTCTCACATACAATTGGTATATGATTTCTTCTTGAGATTTTTGGGGAGCCCTGATTTCCAGCCTAGTACTGCAAAACGATACATTGATCAGAAATTTATACAACAGCTCCTGGAGCTTTTTGATAGTGAAGATCCCAGAGAAGGCGACTTCCTGAAGACCGCTCTGCACCGAACTTGTGGGAAATTTCTTGGATTAAGAGCATTCATCAGAAAGCAAATTAACATTTTCCTCAGGTTTATATATGAAACAGAACATTTCTTTTTTTTTTTTTTTTTTGGTACTGGGGATCAAACTTGGGTCCTTGTGCTTGCACAGCAGGTGGCGAAACCACTGAGCTAAATCCCCGGCCTAAACAGAATATTTCAATGGTGTTGCTGAACTTGAAATTCTGGAAAGTATTATCAATGGCTTTGCATTGCCACTGAAAGCAGAACATAAGCAGTTTCTAATGAAGGTTCTGCTTCCTATGCATACTGCAAAAGGATTAGCCCTGTTTCATGTTCAGCTGGTGTACTGGGTTGTGCAGTCCCTGGAGAAAGACACAACACCGACAGAACTGGTGATCAGAGGACTGCTGAAATTCTGGCCAAAAAGTGCAGTCAGAAGGAGGTGATGTTTTTAGGAGAAATGGAAGAAATCTTAGATGTCATTGAGCCAACACAGTCCAAAAAATTGAAGAGCCACTTTTTAAGCAGATATCCAAGTGCGTCTCCAGTTCTCATTCTCAGGTTGCAGAAAGAGCATTGTACTTCTGGAATAATGAATATATTCTTAATTTGATTGAGGAGAACATTGATAAAATACTGCCACTAATGTTTACCAGTTTGTACAAAATTTCCAAAGAACCCCGGAATCAAACGATTATAGCACTGGTGTACAATGTGCTGAAAACCCTCACGGAAAAGAATGGCAAGCTGTTTGATGACCTTACTAGCTCCTAAAAGGCTGAGAGACAGGGAGAAAAAGAAGGAATTGGAATGTGAAGAATTACGGAAAAAATTTAGAGGGGCTAAAGGTAAAGAAAGCTCTAGCAAAGCAGAACAGTGCTTACAACATGCACAGCGGCCTCAGCAGCGCCAGTGCCTCTGTGGGGCAGCACTGTTCTGTACACGTTTTAAATACATAAAAACTGCGAAGCAAACCTCAGCAGTATAATGTAATTAAAAGGCCAATCTTTTCTGGCAACTGTAAATGAAAATGTGTTTGGACTAAACGTAGCCCTGTGCTGTATCATGGCCGCAGTATATTATAACCTTTTATCTAATCATTGATGCATTGCGTCACTTCTGAAGTTTCACATAAATGAATGAACTTTATCATCTATGAGTGAGATAATTATGGGAGTGGTAAGAATTATGACTTGAATTCTTTGATTGTGTTGCACACAGACCAAGTAGTCTGCTCTGTATATTTTTCCTTCTCTAATGTGCTTTTCACACTGCTGCAAACCTTAGCTGCATCCTAGGACAAAGAGTATTTCCTAGAATAAACTAAGGCACCATCCTTGCCCTGCCCTCCGTCACTCCGTCACTCCTGGAAACATGACGGTGGGATTCCTGCCCCAAGCCCACCTCATCAGAAGGAATTCCTGTATTCTGAATATGCAGAAAACCTTCCATCTCCAGTCTTTTAAAGTACAAAGTATGAATAAAAGCTGGGACAGTAAACCAAAATTCTTGAGAGTGCTCCTCACCAACACCCCTCCACCGGCAGTGCCCCGGGGCAAACACAGATCAATGGTGCAGCGCAGGGGACTTGCTGCCCTTTGTCCATTCCTCTCCCCCAGAGGCTGCAGGCAGGGCCTTTCCAGGTCTCAGCCCTGACCACCCCACCCCAGGGTGGAGGCTTCAGGTCCGTGTGGTGTTGCACACTGCTAGTCCTCACTGCCTGGCTTTATTTAGAGGAAATGCAGTAGGCTTCCTCCGTAGGGCGCTGGAAAGTTGGCTCCAGAGAGATCTTGTATGTTTTACCAGGTCAGGTATTTCTCACATCTTTTCTTATCAGAGTACCATTCCAATCTCTTAACTTGCAGTTGTGTGGAAACTGTTTTGTAATGAAAGATCTTCACTGGGGGATTGAGTAGCATTTAATAAATTCTATGTTTGTATAATAAATAAATAAATAAAAACTTCCGCCCATAAGTGACTCTCTACATGAATTCTAATCCCTGCATATACTCTGGAATACCAGGCAGTTTTAAAAAGACAAAATGATAAAATGGGAAAACACAATTATTTAATTTTAAAAAGAAAATTACTGAACAATTTGTATAGTGTGATCCCAATCATATAAAAACAGACAACCCGATGGGTGTGACCGTGTATTTCGTATGACACATACGCTTATCCTGTGAAAACACAGAAAATTAGATACACATGACAGGACTAATGAGAGAGTTGTACAAAGGCAGATTAGGGGCTAAGAGCTACCTTTTTCTTTTATATATGTCTGGCTTTAAAATTTGTTCCACAAGCCTAAATTATTTCTGTAATTAAAAATCCCAGATAAAGACTTGACCCCTTTTTCACAAGAGTGTGTGAATGTGTGGCAGGCCGAGTCATCTGAGTGTGACTTCCGGGTATGATGAGTCACTTGGTGGCTGGGACGAGAAAGAGAAGCAGGTGCCACTGAGTGATCATGAGCTTTGGGTCAGAGCGCCATGCCAGCATGACGTTAGCAGGCTATTCACTGAGTCTGCTCTTTATAGGGACAGGGACGTCACCCACGTTGGTGGCTTCCTCTACAAGTGGTGTATTTTATAGCAACAGGCTCCCCAGGATGGGAAAGATCAGCTTAAATGTTTAACAGCAGGGAGGCGAGGAGGCACAGAGCTCACCATTTTCTGTGCTGTAACTCACCGGGGATGGCTGATTGCAAGCCCCAGTGTGGAGCCTCCAAGGGCCCCTCTGTCTATCTCCCACCCTGCACTTGAGTCATCTGATCGCACTCCTGGGGAATAGGGTGGACTTTCCTTTCCTGTGCACCACGCAAGAATTGCTCAATTCCTCTGCCACACACCAGCCTCTTGGGTTTTACTTGATTCTTTCCTTCTGATCATCGCCTCAGCCTGAATGGTGAGCTCCCCCACTCCTTCCCACCTGCCCCTGAACGTGTTGCTGCCCCAAGGGCAGGAGTTTTGCTGAGGTTGCTGTGTGAGTCTCAATCATAGCAGCAAGGAGGGAGGAGCTGGACAAGCTCGGTGCAGCACTGGCTCCCAGGGACATGCAGTCTTCAGACAGTGGCTGAGTTCTCTTTCCCTGTCCTCTCTGCTCTGCTCTTGGCTGGGCAGTGGCCACAGCTGTCCTTTTAAGCCTTCTCCTGCCCATTCAGCTGACTCAGATGTATCAAAGCAGGGGATCCTCTTAGAGGCCAGGCTGACTCATCCTCCACGCTTCAGGAGAGTGACAGGCAGGCTTGGAAGGCAGCCCCTTGCCATCAGCCACCAGGCCCACGCGGAGCAGAGCCCAGGCCTCACTGGATGTGACCAGCTCTTTTTCCTGTCTGGCCTGGCAGCGCTTCCCTGCCTGGAGCCCAGGCTTTGCCCACTGCCGAGGCTGGCGTGAGGCTCTGTCCCTGCGGAGCAGAAAGCGTGAGAGGTTGCCAAGCTACACAGCCGGGCCAGTGCCTACTCCTCCAAGAGCTCCCGGAGCTGCTCTGCCCTCACCCTCCCGCTTCCCTTCGTTCCCAGGCGCTGCCTGCCTCCTGCCTTGCTGTGTCGGGCGGGGCATCTGCTGGCAGGGAGACCGGAGCAGGCCAGGTGAGAGCTCTGAGGCAGGTCTTCCCCAGCTTCTTGCCCAATCCTAGCATCTCCCCTCCGCACACCATACTTTAGAAAATAGCAAATATATCCACCCTAAAACAAGGAGTGGGACTTGCCATGGGGGAAGTCAGGTTTGTTGGTGGAAGAGACTATCAAGGGAGCGCAAAGCTCTGTCGCCTGCCAGGAACATTCACAATTTTGCCTCCCCTGCCCAAACCCTAGCAGGTCCAGACCTGCTCCCTCCTGGAAGGGCAGGGCACCCACAGCCCTGGTTTAGGAGGTGCAGCCCCCTTGTTCTTAAGTTCCCTGGAGTATTTAGCCCTGTCCCCCCAAGCACACTGTGTCTGGGACAGTGCCTCACATTATGTTTCCACAAAGAGCCTGATGCATGCTGAGGAGATAGAGCCATCCATAAATAGGCACCCAATCACCCAGTGCAAAAGCAGTGCAGGCCAACTGTGCACTAGACTAAGCACACAGGTCAGGAACAGTCTCCTTTCCTGATGGAGAACTGATCAGTACGTCCAAAGGAACAATATTATCTACACACAATGCATCGAGATTATGGCACACTTCGACCTTTACAAAATGCCATCATGGGCCAGGGCTTTCCTGAGTGAGGAACTAGTTAGTGGCAAGCTGAGACTGGAACCCAGGGCTCGCTCTGCTCATTAGCTCACCTGGCATTGCAGCTGTTTGCCAGGAGAAGTATGTATGATTTAGAACAAGTGTCATCTCTGACTATGGAGGCTCCCTTTACTGGATGAGGCCCTGTGGCCCACAGAGCTCCATCTCTGAAGGTGCCCTGTCCATGTGGCATGGGGACACCATGTGCCAGCCTCCCGGAGGGCTCCAGCTTCTGGCAGGCCCTGCAGGCCCGACGTGGCAGTGTGAGCGGCTGCAGCTGCATCCTGCCTGGCACAGCTGGCCCCGTGGATTCCCGAGCAGGGCCCCAGCTCCTCAGGCAGGCGGGCGAATCCTTTCTTGCCACCATGCCCGGGAATTTCTCCAGGGTCAGGGACTTTGGGCTGGGTCCAAGCCAGCAGCTGCCAGGTCCCAAGCCTCTTCCTGCCTCCAGCCTCCATCCCAATCCCCTAAAGCACACAGATAGCTCCGAGGGCTGCTGGACAGACAGAAGGTTGGGGACAAACATCGGGGGCACTTACAGCTGTGGCTGCGCAGCACTCGGCTCCGGGCAGGTGGGTGTCCTGTCTGGGTCTCGAGGTCTCTTCTTGGAGTAACGGTGCCAGCCGGGCCAGAGGAGAAAGCTCTGGGCACTTGTGAGAGTCTGTGGGCCAGGCAACTTCCCTTTGAGTTTTCCTCCTCTGCCTCCTTGAACAGACTTGGGAAAGTTGCAAAAGAGGCTGGGCCAGGGTGACCTCAGCTGTGTGGGTGGGGAGGATGGGGTGGGACAGGATCGCTGGGCTTCTGAGCCGACTGGATTTGGAGCTCCCTGAGAATGTGCTTTCAGGGACCCTGGCCGGGAGGATGGAGAATGAGAGGCTTGAGGGTGGGGCCGGTGGGCTGGTGGCGGCAGGGTAGCAGGGCTCCGTGAAGCTCCGAGGAAACTGCTGCCTCTGCTGCTGGAAGCCACCCAGGACAGGGGCTCTTTTGTGGGGTGACGTTTTCAATACGCGTGCAGTAGATTCGGTCCTGCTGCCAGCCTGGTGGGAAGAGGCTCCGGCCTGCACACCTCGTGCTCACCCCAGTGCTTTACACACACATACACCCAACACACAAACACACCCCCGAATGCCCCGCCCGCTCCACAAACCCCACTCCCCCCACATAACTCCTCACACAACACACACCACATATACCTCTCACCCACCATACTCCCCACGACCTACACCACACACAGCCACACACCCTACACTACACACACACACAGCACACTGCACCACACCGCACTGCACCATGAGATGTGAAACACGTCCTCACAGCTTCCTGAGCCCCTCAGGTGAGGGTGTGTGGCCCCACCTGGGGTGCTCAGCAGGCTGCAGCAGTAACCCACTGTGGCAGGAAGCTGATTTGTGAATCTCTGTGAGCTGCCTGGAACCAGGCCTTGGGGAATGACTACCTTGGTGGATGAAGGGGAATGAAGTGTGCTCAGACAAGCCCAAGACCTATGGACCACAGATCTCAAGGCGCGCCCTTCAGTGGGTAATACCTCAGTGCACTCTTCCGCCCGCGTTCCTTCTGAGTTGGCCTTCTGTCTCCTTGCCGGCCCATCCCTTAGTTTAGCTGTCCTCCTGCTCAGAAAGCCCCTCCTTGTGCCCCCTGGTCTGTGGCTGTGTGTGATCTGGCCACAGACTGTGCATTCCACAGGAGCAAGGGGTGGCCACGAACCCCTCCCCTGGCCACTCCCACTGCCAGCACAGGCCCAGCAAAGGAATCTTTGGTGGAACCCAAGTTGAAGCTCATTTCCTTGTATCAGCTGGCAAGCATGCCTGGAGGGAAGACATAATGATTTCCACGAGATCGAATATTGGACAGGACACAGGAAAGTTGGAAAAATTTTCCAGAGTGTGTTTACCCAAAATTTTCTATTTTGATTTTTTTGGAAAAGGGTGCATCAATCCGCCCTCAAGAAAGTCACTGATTTGTAACAGCTGATTTGTTCTTCAATTGTTACCATTTAGATGTGTTCCCCCATATTCTATTTCTTTCTGAGACCAGGTTTTAAATCAACATGTATCAACATGCGTGTGTATGTGGGGTGTGTGTGTGTGTGTGTGTGTGTGGTGTGTGTGTCAGATGGGGGGGATGTGAAAAGCTGGAACTGTCCTGGGACTGCCGCTGTAGGAGACTTTGGGATACAGGAAGTGACCCACTGGCCTTTACTGTTTCTGAAACTTGTTCTTTTGGGGGACGTTTGCAGAACCGTCCCCAGTACCTTTGGAAGCCAAGTCACCAGCCACCATCAGCTCCAGCCCCCACTTCCTCCATCCAAACAGATCAAAAGTCAGCAACTTCCCTTTCCTTACTCTGATACAAATTGCAGCCAACCTCTGTCCTGCAGAGGAGGCCTGAGGTCCCCACCACACATGCCTTCGTTCATTCCATAATTTAGTAGGCCAGATACTGGGGACTCAAAAATAGATACCTGAGTTTTAACAGTAGGACAGACACTGTGCGAGTAAAGAGGCCTGAGGAGCTAGAGGTGGAATGTGCCCACCTTCCTTAGGAGAGGGGGATTTGTACTGGGCTCCAAGGAGGCCTGGGCACAGGCATGCCCAGTTGTGCAGGGTGCTGCAGGAGGCCACAGGTTCCAGCTGAGGGTGGGCAGAGGAGGTGCTGAGCCTTCAGGTGGCAGAAGACAGAGTGCACAGTGGGCTTCAGGTCCCAGCTGATCACGGTAATCATGCACCCGTGCCGGAGGTTTTCATCTGGTTCTTCTGAGTATCATCCTTAACGTCTCTTCACCGTTACCCCAAGGCTAGAAGAGCCGGTTTGGGGACTTGCTTGCTCCTCTGCTGGGTGGGGCAGAGAGACCCCTGGGAGCACAGTGTGCTCGTGACTGGATGGGGGTTCAGTTTGGTTGGAATGGGCTGGATGGAAATGGAGGAGGGGGCCAAACTGGGGCCAGGCTCTGGAGCACCCCAAAGCCCTGGCAACTGGATGTCATTTGGTGCACAGCAAGGAATGCCTGGGAAGCTCAGGCAGAGTGAGGAAGCTGGGAACTGGAGCCAGGACTCTGCAGTATTAATCAGTCCAGCTCTGGTGTGGGGGGAGGGAGGCATGACTAGGATCAGAGCATCTGCCCCGATGTTCTTGAAAACCCTTGGTGAACAGCAGTGCCCAGGGGAGTGGGGACAAGGGGCCAGGCTGTAGAAACATTTCTGTAACAGGGCTGGCAGGCTATTGTGCAGACAGTCGCTCTCCTGTTCCTCCATTCAGCAGATCCAGTGGGTGTGGCTTTGGGATCACTTTGGTCAGCACCTGCGGCTCCAGATGGCCCCCCCCCTGCAGGAGGGACCCTAGAGAAGGTGCTTGCAGGGGTGCTACATAACTCTTAGCTCCCCTTGGTTCTCGGGTGCTTTGCTTTAGAGGGAAAGTTACAAATCCTTTTTACTCAAGGGCCTTTTGTCTTTGATGAGATTCACCCTCCTGAGTAGAGATCTGTTCCCTGACAATTCCCCGAATGATCGTCACTAACTGTTAGAACTATGAGGTAGGACGGTGAAGGAAAAGTCGCAGTAGATAGCAAAGGTTGACAACTCCAAGTCCACGCATCAGTGTTGACTCTGCCAATGGAGAGGCACTTGGCATTACCCACTTCCTGAGGGGACCTGACAGGAAGTACCCAGCACCACCATGATGTGTTTGTGCCTCCAATTCAGACTTCCGGCTGTAACTACCACTTCATGGGAAAGATGGGCTCAAAGACCCACGTTAAATGACACCAGCAAAATTCTGACTGGGACAAACACTACAGAAGAAAAGAGGTTTAAGAGACATTTCAAATAAGCAGCTCATGGATTGTGTTTAGACCCTGATACAAACTAGCCACCTGTAAAAAACAGCCACACATGTGTGAGACAATGGGAGATGTTTGAGTTCTGATCATCTAAGGCTGTTAGAAATGTTTATGGATAAAAAGACATGCTTCTTGGGATTTGCCTCAAAATAATTCAGGTACATGCAGCGGGAGAGGGAAGTGGGGAGTGGTGTAGGGAAAGGGGGCTACCCACGTGTGTGGGGGTCGAAAAGCTGGCTGGGGTACACAGGGATTTATTGTTCTACGGCTTCTGCCTGTGTGTGTGTTTGGAGATTTTCACAGTGAAAAATCAACAAAAGCAGTAAAGGACAGAATTCCTCCATTATGATGATGGTGGAGGGATGTGTGTGTGTGTGCGTGCGGGTGCGCACACGCGTGTTCTCCTGGTCTGTTCGGTGCTAATTTAAATCGAAACCTTGGGAATGTCTGCATTCTATGGAAAGTGACTTTTTAACAAGTGTAAAGGATGCCCCAACTCAAGAGGCCCAGGAAGGGTCGGGTGGCTGGGCATGGAGGCGAAACCCTAGTCAGGGGACTGCCGGCGCCAGCCCCACTTGGTTATTCCCACGGTCAAAGACGGCGTAAAACTGTCGGATGAAGACATCCCCCAGGATCCAGAGGGGCCCAGCGGGAGGCTGGATTTCCAGGCCTTGGAAGCCAGTGCTGCAGACCTGCATCCCGTCGGCATAGTCCTGGGGACAGAGAAGGAGGTGAGAGGCCCGCAGGGAAGAGGGACGGAGCGCCCCCTAGAGGCTGTCCTGGGCGTTGGCGGCGGCCGGCATTGCAGGGCCCCGCCAGGCCTGGGTCCCGCTATTTTGGGCAGCTGTGTCCCTCTCAGAGGGGATGTCACACCCACCCGAGCAGGACGAGGTGGGAGAGGGGCTCGGGGCAAACTCAGCTCTAAGCTTGGACAACTGTCTGAAAAGGGGAAGTGACAGGCGCGTGGGGAAGGCCCCATGACACGCGGATGAGGAAGCAGCTTACCAGCAGGGTGTAGGCAGTTGGGCTGAGCGTGTAGAGGACCCCGTTGATGACGAAGGTGACGTCCTGCATCATGTTGAGGTTAGCACACTCCACAGCATACTAAAGCAGAACACGGGGTCCACTCAGAGCCTCCCAAGCCAGGCGGGCTGTCCTGCTCCTGTCCCCTCCCCAGCCCAGGCAGGCACTGACCTCCTCATCCACATATGTGGCCCCAAGGGCCTCTTGCAGCTGCTTGATCTTTGGGGGCGGGCCGGTGATGAGGGACGTCCCTGTGTCCACAATGGCTTGGCAGCCCTCGGAGCAGAACATCACACTGTCCCCAACCAGGATTCTGAGAGCAAAGGAATTGTAGTCAATGCCATTCTTGGGATTCCTGGCAATTCCGCTCCCTGCCGGGCTCTGGAGGACTCCAGACATGTCCATGATGTCCGTGGACATGTCTCTCCTGCCACTGAAATACTTCTCAAATGTTTTTTGAGGTCTGTTACAAGAAGTATACTTGCTTCTTGACCTAGTTCTCTCTCTCTCTCTGTCTCTCAGATGAAATGCACTCTGATATTTCCTACCATATTCCTTTCATTTAAAAATGAAGATCAGGGCCAGGGATTTAGCTCAGTGGTTCCACCGCCTGCCTCAAAAGCGCAAGGACCCGAGTTCAATCCCTGGTACCAAAAATACCCCCACAAAAAACGAAGGTCAGAACCCCTACAATGATGTTGTGATCCATACCTGAGTAAATCCCTGCAGTCTGAAAAGCCCTCATGAGACTGAGCTTGAGGCTTTTCACTTTTATCCTAAATGCCTGGTGCCTTGCAGGAAGTGAAACTTGAATTACACGTCTTTGAATCCCTCACTCTCTAGCCCAGGGCTGTGGGTGCAAAATGAGCACCCGGTCGTACTTCCTCAGTTGCTCCTTCCTGAGACTCAGTTTTAAGGCCTCCCGCTCTCACGAAACACTTCAGGGGTCCTCAGATAGAAGCGGTCTTGTCTTTTGGCGGCTCCTGTCTTGGGGCCCTGACCACTTCCACTTTACGAGGTAGCAATTTGTGTGCATGCCTTGTCTTCCATACAAGCCTCACGAGGGTAAAATCTGAGTCCTGTCCACCGCCATATTCCCACGTCACTCCGCACTCGCCATGTGTGTTCATTAACATCACATGATGGGAAGGCAGCAGGCTGCATGCTGCTATTGGCTGTGTGAGGTAGAGGCATACCACAGGTACAAGGTCACTGGTTACTGGTGCCCTTTCTGCGTTTTTATTGGCATCTCCACCTCCAACCCACAAGAAAGGGCCCAGTATCTGCCTCTAGGGACAGCAGAGCCACCCACTGAATCCAGTTTGAGTTGAGCATTCATCTATCAAATTGTAAGTGCTCCCTGCAAGATACTCACCCATCCAATGCAATCTGCCAGTAGGCCTGCTTGGTGACCGGGACCCAGTTCAGGCTCCCCGAGAAATGGGAGGGGTCATAGCCTCCGAAAGTCAGTTCGCCGCCCGAGCCACCTGGGTTACTGTGAGGAAAGGCAGATTGTGAAGGAGCAGCCACACACTGTGCCTGGAAGCACCCCAAAAACACATTTCCCCAGAGTATCTGCCCCACTGTTATTGGGGCGGTGTCTGGAGTTTCCGTGTTATTCACTCCTTTGTGTCAAGACAAAGAAGCTACTTTGAATGCAACCTGATTTACTAGCGCTTGAATAGTGGCTGATTTTTATTGGTATTGATGTTTTATGTTCTGGGACCTAGCACTATTCTGGGGAAATAAGAACAAAACAAATTCACTTTCATGAAGAAAAGGGTCAGAAAAATACAAAACTCAGGGCAGTGCCAGGGAGGATGGTAATGGAAGAGGGAACTGAGTATCTGTAGTAATTTTAGGTTTTAGAGAGGGAAAGGGGAAGGAACTAACACTAGTCAATGGCCTTTGGCCAAGTCACTGTGGTAGAACTTTGGTCTATGTCATTCTATTTAACGCTCACCTCAACCTAGGGTCCACTTGAGGACACGGAGGCTCAGAGAGATGAAGCCTCTCGAGTCAGAGGGCTGAAGTCAGGGCTAGGCTGATTGCAAAGCCCTTGCTAGTGCCCATCATGGCTTGAGCTTCCCAATAGGCTGGGAGGGAGCAGAAGCCCCGCCTTGCCTCTGGATCCACCAGGCAGCGGTCTCAGCTTTACAGCCATGTGGCTGACACAGCACAGCTCGAAGAGGGAATTCGGGATCCTCCTGTGGGCAGGGACAGGTGAACGCAAGGCCTGTCTGGGAAAAGGTCTGAGAGATAAGAGAACTCCTTCCGGGGCATGGAGGAAGGTGAGGTGACTTGCCAGGGAGCCCAGGTAAGAAGAGTACCTAGAAGCAGGTAGGCAGTACCTAGATCTTTCTCACGATTTTTCAACTACTGTGTGTAACCATTTTTAAAATTTGTGGCAATATATACGTAATATAAAAGTTCCCATCAACTATTTTTGAATGTCTAGCTCAGAAGTGCTGAGAACATTTACACTGTTGGAAAACCAGTCTCCAGAACCTTGGCATTTTGGAGAACTGAGACTCTATATACCCATTAAACAAGAACCCTTTCTCCCTCCTCCAGTAGTCCCTGGCAGCAACCATTGTACTTTCTGCTTTTGGGAATTTGATTACTTGAGGTACCTTGTAAAAGCAGAATCATATAGTATCTGTTTTTCTGTAACTGGGTTATTTCATTTAGTCTCATGCCCTCAAATTTAATCCATGTTCTAGCATAAATCAGAATTACTTTCCTTTTCAAGACTGAATAATATTCCATTGTATGGATTTACCACCTTTTGTTTATCCATTCATTAGTGTGCAATTATTTTATTGTCAGCTTGCTTTATAATTTTTCCTGCCTCCCGCAACTGTGTGAACTATTCTCTTTGTTTCTTTGTCTCCCAGTGTCTAGCACCATGCTCAGCATATAATAAAAGTTTGATATTAATTTCATGAATTAGTGGCCAATTCCAGAGATCAAGAAATTCAACCCATTGTGCTAGAGTTTACAAAATGTTTAGCACATCTACTTTATGAGGCAAATGCCATGCCCTCAAAATCCAGAGAGGTCGAGTGCCCAGGATCACAGTTGGTAATAGGCCAAGCCAGATCTTTGATGGCCAAGCTTACTGTCCTACATTGTCTTCCTGCAGTCTTCACCAACCTGACCTGGTGGACTCACCAGGACTTACCTGCTCATGTAGACAGAAAACAATGGCAGAGCCACCAGGTTCTGGGCCATCATGTTGTCAAACACGGGGGTCACCCCTCCAGCAGCCAAGGAGGGATAGCCCAGGCCCAGAATTCCGTCAAACTCCGCATGCACAAAGGTCTGGCCTGGCTCTTTGACACTTTCTCCAAACTGCTGGCCAACCACAGTGAGTCCTTCCACCTGATGGAAAAGGCCCAAGGGAGAATTGAATGGGGGTGGGGGGAACTGGCAGGGTCTCCAATTCCGGGGTTCTCCCTCTGTCCTGAAGCTAAGTCTTCCTTCCTCAACTTTTCTTGATTAAATGGCCACAAAAATTGTCACCAAATTCCCACCCTCTTAATTTCTTTATCTAAATTTAAATGAACTAAACACACTATAGAAATTATAAGTGCACGGTTCAGTAATTTTTCACATGCTTTACACACCCATGTAACCTAGTTCCAAAATCAATAGCCAAGATATCCCTGACCCCAGAATCCCCTTCCTACATTCTCAGTCATCATTGCTTCCCTCCCAAAACAACCACCCTCCCGACTTCTAATAGCATTGATGGTTCTGCCAGTTTTTAATTGTATATAAATTGAATCACCCAGTATGATGTTGGTATCCAGCTTCAGTCACTCAGCATAGTGCTTATTGAATGCTGCTGTCATTTGTTCATTCTCATTAGTATTTGATGGTATGAATCTATCACCATAACTTACCCATTCTCCCATTCATGGATATTTAAGTTGTTTCCTGTGATTGACTACTATTACTAACAGTGCTACTAATATGTTTCATCTGATGAAAACATGTATGATTTTTGTTGGACATAAGCTTAGGAGTAAAATGATGACCATAGGGTAAATACGCGTTCTGCTTGAGTGAATATACTACAGAGATTTTCAAAACAGTGGTACCCATTGATGTTTCCACTACAATAATGTGAGAGTTCTGATTGCTTCGTATCCTCACTAACCCTAGATATTACTTAACTTTCCCTGATATTTTAGTTTTTTTGGTACAGGGGATCAAACTCAGGACCTTGTGCTTGTGAGGCAGGCGGCAGCACCACTGAGCTAAATCTCCAAAAATATTTTAGTTTTTTAATAGATATGCAGAGGGTTACATTGTGGTTTTATTTGTATTTCCTGCTGATTAATGATATGGAACATTAGGATATCCTCTTATGAAGTAAGTTTCTGCATTTCCTTGTTGTTAATATTTTGGAACCAGGCCGGGGATTTAGCTCAGTGGTTCTGCCTCCTGCCTCGGAAGAGCAAGGACCCAAGTTCGATGCCCGGTACCAAAAAAACCCCCAAAACCAACCCCCCCCCCAAAAAAAACCTGGAACCAGATAGATCTTAATTAACAAAAGATACAGATTTTTTTGTGGGATTTTTTTTTTTTTTTGAGACAGGGTCTTACTATGTAGTCCAGGCTGGCCTCAAACCTATGGCAATCCTCCTCCTGGGATTATAGGAATGCACCATCACGTTTGGCAAGATGTGAATTTTTTTTTTTTTGGGTACCAGGGATCGAACTCGGGTCCTTGCACTTGCACAGCAGGTGGCAAAACCACTGAGCTAAATCTCTGGCCCAAGATGTGAATTTTAATGGGATTAATTTTCCCTGTACTATTAGGGGTTTTTGTAATTTGCTTCAGAAACTTTTTCCTTCCCTGAGGTTATGAAAACATTTCTCCCATGTTTTCTTCTAAAAGCTTTATTGCTTCACTTTTTTCATTTAGATATGTGATCTACTGAAGTTTGATAACATGATATAGAAATAAAGATTCCTTTTTAAAATATTTAATATCCAAATGACCTAGCACTATTTAATAAATATACCATTGCTTCTTCCACATACTACATTATCATGTTCAAGGTAAGTCAGATAATTGTTTAGACAGTTTCTAGATTTTATATTCTGTTGCATTTGGTTATTTTTATTCCTGTGCCAATACCATGTTGTCTAAATTACCATAGCTTTATAATGCATGTTAATATTTGGTAGTGTTTTTCTTCATCAAGACTATCTTGGTGTATTACATTACATCCACATACATGGTAGAACCAGCTTGTTAATTACTAACAAAAAAAATGCCATTGTTCTGGTTGGAGGGTTTTCATTGAGTCAACACTGGATCTGTAGATCAGTTTGAAATTTTTTTTAGCTCTTTATAAAACGGAGTCATTTAATCTACAGGCATAATGTTTTACAGATTACAGAATGGAGGTTTTGCACATATTTTGTTAAATTTACTTCAAGCTGGTTGGTCTTTTTTCATGGTATTAGGGATTAAACCCAAGGCTTTCACACTGAGCCATATCCTCAACTCTTTTTATTTTTTATTTTGAGAAAGGGTTTCACTACGTCTCTAAATTGCCCAGGCTGCACATGAATTTGTGATCTTCCTGCTTCAGCCTCCTAGTGTGCTGGGATTATAAGCATGAGCCACCATGTCTGGGTTAATTGACATCTTTGATGGTATTATATAAATAGTGTCATTAAAAATCTGCTTTCTAAGTATTTTTCCTGTTACATAGAAATATGCATGATTTTTATGTTGATTTCAGCAACTAAACTCTACTAAATTTACTTAATAATAACCCCTGTAGTTGGTCTGTAGTTTTAAAAACATTTTCTACATGTGCTTGCTTCAGCAGCACATATACTAAAAACATTTTTCTACAAAAAGAATTTATCGTATATTAATGAAGGTGTTTATATTTTATCCCAATCTTAATGCTCTTAATTTATTTTTTCTTGCTTTATCACATTGGCTAGGATCTTTAGCACAATATTAAATAAAAATAGTAAGAATGGGGCTGGGGATTTAGCTCAGTGGTGCTGCCACCTGCCTTGAAAGAGCAAGGTCCCTAGTTTGATCCCCGGTACCAAAAAATAAAAAAATGTAAGAATGAACTTTCTTGTCTCATTCTTGATCTCAGAGAAAAGACTATCAGCAATTCACCACTAAGTATAAGGTTTGCTGGGCCAGGGATTTAGCTCAGTGGTTTCGCCGCCTGCTGCGCAAGCGGAAGGACCAGAGTTCAATCCCTGGTACCAAAAAAAAAAAACAAAACCCCAAAACAAATAAGGTTTGCTGTGGCATTTTTGCAGGTTTTTAAAAAATTAGATTAAGGGAGTTACTTTTTAGTCCTAGTTTGTTAATAATTTCTTCTAAGTCATGAATAGATGTTGAATTTTATCAATGGAGATTATCATATGACTTTTCTGTTTTTATTCTCTTAGGAGGTAAATTCTTAGGAAGAAATGACTCTTGATTGAGATGTATTATCCTTTTCTATATCATGAGATTTTATTTGCTAGTATGTATTTTGTTTAGAATTTTGGCATCCACATTCATAAGAGAGAGATTGCTTAATTTTTATAGTGTCATTTTCAAGTTTCTTTTCTCTCTCTCTCTTTTTTTTTTTTGCTGTACCAGGGCTTGAACTCAGGACCTTGTGCTGGCAAGGCAGGTGCAGTGTCACTGACCTAAATCCCCGAGCCTTCAAGTTTCATTATTAAAGTTATGCTTCATAAAATGGGTTATGAAGTGTTCATTTATTGATTATCTGAAGAGTATTATAAGACTGGTGCTATTTTTTTTTCTAAATGTATAGAAGAATTCACCAGTGAGCCTACCTGGGTCTGCAGTTTTCTTTGCAGAGATATATAAAATAATGGTCAATATTTATAATAGACACTGGACTATTCATATTATCTATTTTTTCTTGTGTCAATTTTGTTATGCCATTTCTCAAGATATTTGCCTGTTCTTTTAATTGTAAAGTTCATCAATATAAACTATTCTTGATGTCCTTTTACTTTAATGTCTATAATATCCTCTTTTTACTCCCCCTGTTACCAGGGATAGAACTCAGAACCTTGCGCTTTCTAGGCAGACATGGTGTAATATCCTCTTTTTTCATTGCTAATATTGTTAAGTTGTATTTTCTTTCATTTTTCTTAACTAGTCATACTAGAGATTTATCAATTTTATTCTTTGCAATGAGTTAATTTTGGGCTTTTTTGGTTTTGTTGTAGTATGCCTTTCCTAGCTCACTGACGTTCTTTTTTTCCATTTATTACATCTTTCCTTCTACTTTTGGGGGTTTTGTTTGCTGGGTTTTTTGGGGGGGGTTGGTACCGGGGATTGAACTCAGGACCTTGCGCTTGCAAGGCAGGCACTGGAACCACTGAGCTAAATCCCCAGCCCTTGTTTGCTGTTTTTTGTTAGTGCCTTTCTTGTTGCTTATTTGTTGCTTGAAATAGATGCTTAAGTCATTGGTTTTTCTATTACAGGCATTTCAAGTTTTAATTATCCCATTAGGACTGCATTGGCAGCATCCACAAATTTTGGCAAGTTTGATGTATATGAGCCTGTATTTCAGATAATTGACTATCTGCAATTGTAATGTCAGTTACACAGCATATTTCAGAACGTAGTTGCTGACCTAGGGCTGCAGCCCGAGGTCTACAGTTTTTGCAGCAGAAGGAGAAGACAGTTAGCAAGTGGGAGAAGGGTGAACTGGAACCGGTGAGGATGAGGGTGAGTGGAGGTCCCCACTATTCTCTAACTGCCCAAACCTCCAGCCTCAGTAATGAGGCGTGTCCTGCAGGGAAGTGACACTGTAGGTTAGGTTTCCATGCCCATTTCAATCCCTTCCCTGCTTTCCAGAGGTTGTTAAAACTATTGGCTTGGAATATAGCCCTCGGCAGAGTTATTTGTCCTTTTATATGTCCACGTACAGTGTATTTTTATACTCCTACACATGGTTCCACAGTGTACTGTTTTATCAGTGTGTTTATATGTATGATTTCTTACTTACATACAAAGTGTTTTTCTGCTTTGGCATTTTTTACTTAATAATGTGACCTACCCTCACCCCCTTCGGAAGGGTGTTGGTGAGGCTGGGCCCTGCTAGCCTTGGGATGACCCCAGAACCAGAATGACGCTCTGAGCGGGTGGATCAACCTCAGTTTTCCCAAGGCATGGGTGTAGATTGAGGCCCATAAGCCTGTGTGAAGTTCCCAGGAGGACCAGGGCTCTCTTGATCCTGGTTTTACACCAGGCTGATCTCTGTGGACCCAGGACCATCAGCCTTTTGGTCAAGGCGGGGTTAAGAAGCAGCTCACAAGACCTTGGGTCTTTGTTTTGACATCCGAATTCCACCTTGTCCCTGCGGTTGGACTATTTCCCACTTTGCCCTGCTCTTTCACTAACTGAGTCCTCCCACCCCTTGCCCTGTGCCTTGGACTTCTTTATCATTCAAGGTCTTGTCTCCTCATGTGCCTGGTGACCCAGCCCCACCACAGACATGTGCACAAGGCAGTGTTTCCTGTGGCAGAACCCTGAGCCAGCCCTCAAGGGGCAGGGGTGCTGAGCAGACAGACCCTCTACTGCCATCTGGGAAGGGAATGTGGCTGCTTCCCTTTCCCTAGAATCTGGCCTTTTCCTGAGACAGATCTGACACTGTCCCCTAAGACCTCCGAACAATGTTCTGTCTCCTAAGCTTCCGGGCAAGGAGAAAAGATGACGGGATCACACTCACAGAGACTTGGTCGGCTCCGATGATCCCGGTCAAGCTTCCAGTCCCGTACTGAATGGAGAAAGGATTCCCCACCTCGCTGTACGTGTTGGACAGGGAAGGGTGGAACACGGGGTGAGTCTCTGGAAAGCAAAGACAAAGCTTACTGCCTTCATCCCTGCCCCAGAGATGCAGGGTCTCTTCTTTCGGCTCCCACTGCCGAGCGGGGACCCCTAGAAAAGCCGGCCATGGTGCCGTCCAGTGAGTGGCCACATTCCCCCTGAGCCACAGGTGTGGCCTAACTGGGACCAAATAATTGTTCCTGGGCAAACCTGATTGCCTGCAATGACCTCATGAGGCACACCAAGATAAGCAGCATTTATCAGGTGCTAGAAGCAGTCCCAGGCGTCAGTATGGGTCAGAGCTTGCCTTCAGAGAAACTTAGGGGTAAACAATTACCACTCCAGGAAATTACTTCCCTCTCTGCCCAGCCTTGGGAACACCTAGCTTCAGGATTGCCAGGGACTTTCTGTCTCTGGGACTTGTCCTTCATAGAACAAGGCATCTTTCTGCTCTTTTTTTTGGTACCAGGGATTGAACTCAGGACCTTGTGCTTTTAAGGCAGGCGCGATGCCACTGAGCTAAATCCCTGGCCCTTGGTCTTCTTTTTCTAATCTTCATTGGATCCCCTGAATTACTTCCAAAAGGACATGCTCATGCCATAGTGCCCCACAAGCCCTAGCTCTGTGGGAGAAAGGCCACCAAGCTACCAGTCTCACCTACCTGCCCCGAAAGAGTCAGTCAAATGGAACGTTCTCCCATGTTCCTTGGGCTGTTCCAAAGGAAGTGAGTCATCAATCTAAAGATTTCTCTTTTCAGTGGCTAATTTTCTTCCTATTAATCCTGACCGGTATGAAAGTTGTTGCCTTGTATCGCAGCCAAATTTTATCTCTTCCTGGCCTAGCCCTATTTGAACAGTAAGCAGTTCTGGGCAGATCCAGAGATGGGGAGGGGAAGCTGAGGAAGCAGAGAGGGCCAGTTTCGGGCCCATGTGCCCCACCTCCAGGGTACCTGGCTTCCCAGGACAGCCTGCCATTTCCCACGGGTCTCCTGGCCCTACTTACTGCAGGCCGGGCTGGTGCAGTAGACAGAGGGGACCCAGAGATTGGAGGATCCGGTGTCAAAGATGACGGTGAAGTTTTGTGGTGGGGAGCCGATGGAGATAGTGCCAAAGTATTCCATCTGCGGGGAAGGGAGAGAGGCAGGGGACGTGGTGGAGGGGAGGGGAGGATGTTCAGCAGGGGCCCCAGGGAGACTCCTAGAGCCAGACGCTGGGGTCTGTGGACTGGATCTTACAGAGCTCAGGGAGGAAAACATAAGAGGACCAGAGAGAGGCCATGGCAGGAGAACTCGAGTCAAGGCCTCCAGCAACTAGATTCGATTTTCCTCACATTGTCCTGAGCCAGGCAAGGGAAGCAGATCCATTTTACAGATCAGGGAGCAGGGGCTGGGAGAAGTCAAGCTCTTTGCCTAATGTCACTACTAGTAAGCTGCACAGCTGAAGGCAGAATCAAGGTCCTTCCCTTTGGGGTGCTTGTCACTTTCACCCCTTTCCTCCTGCAGAGAGCTCCATGCACAGGAGCCCAGGGGACCAGATCACGTGAATTATCCAAGAGCAAAATCTGGGAGGGTCTTCAGGCCTGATGCTGGTGCGGCTAAGGCCAAGCCTTCCTCCCTCCCCAGCCTTTCCCCAGCCCCCCAGCCCAGGAGGGCTCACATCCAGGTAGTTGATGAGGGGCTCGCTGGAACCCTGCATGGTGGAGCACTGGTCCAGGTCCAAGTTCTGGGATTTCCAGAAGTCGGTGAGCTGGCCCTGAGCCCGCAGCTTCTTCCGCAGGGACTCATGCCTCTGGAGGGGCACCCTGTAGGCAGATCTCTGTGTGAGGAGCAGTGCAGCCTGGCCTCCCTCTCCTTCCCCCAGCCTCCTCGCTGCATTCACTCTGAGCTAACTAGAGAATGACCCAGGAGGGGAACCGCACGGTCCCCCTGGGCCCCAGCCTACCACTCTGTGTCCCACAGACTCAGAATCCCAGTGTGGACATGACTCTCCCTTCTGGCCGTGGGCTCTGTGAGGTCTTCTGCGGTACGAGATGCAACAGTCTGCAATTTTACCTGAACCCCTTGAAGGGCTGATTTAAAGGGACAGAAGAGCTCCTGGGGGCGGTGATGCTCAGCTGCATTTGAGGGGAAGTTATTTGAAGGTTTTGAGCAACAAACCACAGTTGTAGGCTCCTGCTCTTTTGCAATCTGAGCAGTGACCTGGGGCTCAGGCAGGGCCTCCACTACAGGTAGAGCCAGGGGTTGGCTTCCTGGGGACAGAAGATCAAGGCCATGCACAAGGTGGCTATTGGAAAACCTTCCTACAGGTCATGCAAGCCCTCACTTCCTTCCCTCCCTCCCCATCAGCACTCTCCCCGTTGACAGCCCTGCATTGAGGGGGTGGGGGTGGGAAGTCCCCAGTTGGGCTCCGTGCTGGGGACACCGCCTCACCTGTGAAGGGCTCCCGGGGCCTGATCCAGCTCCAAGAGCACCAGTAGTAGCAGCAGGCATGTTTTCACCATGGTCGGAACAGCAGCTTCTCTCGGTCTGCTGCAGCCGGTGTTCTTTCTCTTTTCTCCTCTCTCACAGAGCAAGGGAACTAACTCTCCAGACACCTAGATCTGCCCTGCCCTGCCCGCTCTGAGGACCCAATGATAAGGCTGAGTTAATAGTCATGCCCAGAGCAAACAGCATGTGTAACGAGCTAGTCCTCCACCCTCCACTCCCCTCTACTGAAAGGGGTGTCGGTCTGGGGTGGAACTTGGGAGTCCATGGGATCCCAGGCTCAGCTTCTCCCAGGGTCTCCTGCACCCCACCCTGTGTCCCAGGACGCTCGGAGGCCACAGTGGAACTGCTACTGTGAGCGGCAGAGCTAACGTCTCCAGAGGGCCAGAAACCAAACAGTCCTGTGTGTGGCAGTTCTGTCACCCGAGTCATGAATCAGTCTGTTTTCTCTGCATTTCTTTCTTTCTTTTTTTTTTTTTTTTGGTACTGGGGATTGAACTTGGGTTCTTGCGCTTGCGCAGCAGGCGGCAAAACCACTGAGCCAAATCCCTGGCCCCAAATGTTTGCATTTCTTATTCCCTCCTCGTTACCTCAGATGCCCCAAGGCAGCTTATCTTTCCATCACTGTGGAGAAGCAGAAGCTAGCCATGCCCCAAAGCCCTGAGGTGGGGAGATGGGCTGCGGATTTGTGGGGAGAACCCATCTGAAGGACCTGATGAATTGTGTAGGGAATGCTGAAGAGTCAAAGGTCTGGGTTTTTTTCACCTTTTGGGGAATCTACTTAACATTTCTTGACCCAGAAAGTTTTGGCTTAGCTCTTCGGGGACCCGCTGAGGGTTGGCGAGTGGACGGGCTGCCACAAGCACTGTGCTGGTTTTCCAGGGCCGCCAGAACGAAGCACCACAGACTGCCGAGCTTAAACAGCAACATTTGTTTCTGTGTGACCTGGAAGCCTGAAGGTCCAAGGTGAAGGTGCGGCAGGCGCTGATTGCTTGAGGCCCCTCCACGCCTTCCCTGATCTTCCTTCTGTGTGTGACTTCATCTTAATCCCCCCGCTTTGTGAGTACACTGGTCACATTGGGCTAACAGCCCCTAATGACCTCGTTTAACCCTAATGCCTTTTCAAAGACCCTCACTCTGAATAGGGTCACACTCTGAGGTGCTGGAGGTTAGGACTGCAGCATATGCATTTTGGGGAACACGGTTCAGCCCATAAGTAGTGCCTGGGGAGAACAGGATCTTCCAAGGACAGGTGGGGGTGGAAGGAGTTGGGACTGAGTTACCTCACCATCAGGAAAACCTTTCCTTAGCCGGACCCAGGGCAGCAGAGGCCACGCCACTGCCACGCCTGCCCACGCTGCCCGGGGGCACTAGGGCGAAGCAGGAATTAGGGCGCCTGGGTTTGGGGTTACCTCCGCCCTGGCCAGCTGGTGTTCTGGATGATTCCTAACTGCTGTGGACTCTGCTTTCCACTTCTGGAGGCCAAAAATCAGGCAAGCTTAAGAGTCTGGAGCGAAATCAAACCTTCCGTTGGATCCAGAAATGGTGAAGAGACTTCTGAAAGGAGGAGGCACACCAGACTTTTGACCCCTGATCCTGAGGCAACAGAAGCTCTTTGGCATTCATCCTTTTCCCAGGAGCCGGTGTCCTTGACCTTTCACTGGGGACACAGGTCTGTGTACCCCAGAAGGACAAGGGGAGGCTGGGAGGGGCCAAGCTGAGAACGATCATTTCAGTGCCAAGCTCGGCTGTGACTGCCTCACACCAGTTAGTCTTGTTATCCGCCAGTTACCTGGCCCACGCCAGCAGGTGTGGAGGAAGATTAAATACGCAAAGTGAGGTACCCAAAAATGCCTGAAAAACTACAATGTGCTGTAGAGAGTGAAGATCATCACTAGAAAAACCTTGAGGTAGACAGCTTCGTATAGACCCTCAAGGCAAACCTACACACACACACAGCAGATGAGGACATTGAGCCACAGGGAGGCAAAGTGTCAGGCCCAAGAGCATGTGGTTCATGTATGGCGGAGCTAGGACTGGGTCGCAGGGCTCCTAACTTCTGCTACAGATCTACAGCAACCTTATCTCTGAGCTGTTGAAGTGAGCAGATCGAGGCCCCCCTGTGTCCCCACCTTCCCGACCTCTCTCCACCTCCCTCCTGCCTTTGTTTCCTGGGAGTTGAGGATTTGACTGGTCCAGGCTTGGAGTTGACACAGTCCGGCTTGTCTTGTAGGAAGTGCAGGGGTTGGCTGGATTTTAGAAGCTCTGACAAAGGGTAGGAGCAGGTGCCTGGGGACATTTGTCAGAACTAATGATGGATTGTGTCCTGTCTGGGAACACCAGGAGCCGCACTGCCCTGCCTGCTGTTACAGCCCCTCCCAGGCTGCAGCTGAAAATTGCTGTGGAAGATGTGACCTCTCTCTGGGGATCCGAAGCCCCTCGACTTGTGTGTGATCGTGTGGGTGTGGCCTTTGAGAAAAGGCAGAGGGGAGAGAGTTCAGGTGAACGTGGGGCACAGTATAAGCAATGACCCAGAATCTCAGTGTTGGGAGAGGACTTTGGGGAGAGACCCTCAGAAAGGTGGCAAGAGGCTGGCACTTGAAAGGCGTTGGTGGTGACACTATGCAATCAACTTCTTTCTGCTTCAGCTTGAGGAAGGTGAATTAAGGTAAGAGGACAGTTGTTCAGTGCTCTGTGGAAACAGCTGTATCAGGGCTTGACAGCGTTGGAGGCAGATGCTCAGAGGTGGGTTGATGGGGAGATATTTCAAGACGGTGCACTGTGGTGACACAGCTGGCTCCTCGTGGCAGGGAAGCCAGCACTGCAGGAGAGGTTGCTCTCGGCCTAGCTCTGCATGAGCTATCTGTTCCAGTCCTTTTCTGTTTGGAGTTGATGAGGAAGGAAAATCCAGCATGTTGTGTGGCTCAGTGGGAAGAGGGCTGGGCAGAGACATCTGGATACAGCCTTGGCTCAGCAGTAACTGGCCATTCGACAGTAGACAGAACGCTTCTCTCTGAATCCAGTTTCCTTATCTGCGAATCGAAGAGGTTGATTGCATGATAATAAGAAGGAACATTTTGGGATATAAACCATGTGCTAGGCTCAGAGTGAAGGAATTTGCAAGCGTTAGCTCCTTTGGTTCTCACACCAATCCTATCAGGTAGGTATTTGAAAGGCCACATTACAGGTGAGTAAATGAGACACAGCAGGCTTAAGTTACTTGCATAAAGCGCTGCATTCAGGATATGAAGCCAGGTTTATCTGACTTTGAAGTTGATGTCACTGGGTTGGGAGATCTCTATGGTCCTAATTCTAGGATTTTTGAGGGGGAAAGAGAGAATATTGTAGGGTCTTCTTATTGTAAAAAGAGAAGGGTGAAAGGAAGGAAAAAGAAAAAAGAGAATGGAAGGGAAAAAATGGAAACCAAGCTTGTAAATCAGGAGAAGAGGGGTTGAAGGAGGGGAGGGGATTGGGGAAAAAAGAAGCAAGATATATCATGTACAGGATCAAATTCCCTATGATGAATATGATCATTATGTATATCTAAAATGTACCAATAAAATTAATTTTTTAAAAGCTAAAAAAACCAGAAGTGTTATACCGATGTGATGTGGATGTGGAGCTCCAGGATAGGAAAGCTTCTCCTCGCCTATTCTTTGTAAGCATTTTCTATTTTAGTTCAGGAAGTGTTGTTATTGTATTGTGGACAGGTGCAAAAGTCCCCCCCACCTCTCTTGGCCCCCACACCCTGATTGAATTATGAAAAAAATAAAAGTTGCATGTAATCACAGCATCTGTTTATTGCAAAAAGAGAGAACTTGGTTGAGCAGGCTCTCACCATGCCGAGAATTCCTTAGATCAGTTCTGCAGCTCCTGTCGGTTCTACCCGGGAAAAGCGACTTTTGGGTCAGTGATTGCTGCAGCACAGTCAGCGGAGCGAGTGTGCAGGCAGTCGGGAAGTTTCTCCTGAATTTTGCCTCTGCATGTGCGTGTGTGAGTGTGCATGTGTGCATGTGTGTGTGCGCGCGCGCACACATGTCTCTGCACCTATAGAGCAGGAAGAACTGTTCACACGTTAGTTTGCCGGACAGCAGCATCCACATTGCCACCGACAACATTTGTGCTTGCTCCTGAGCCCAGATTTCGAAAGCAGACAAATTAGCACTTGAACTCGAGCTCTGCCACTTAGCAGATGGCTGTGTGGCAGCAAGAAAGCTTTGGAGACTGTGACTCTTCCACCCTACAGGAGGCAGGATGATTTCCCTGCAGAATGACGTGGGGAGTCCACGCTGTCTAGGTGTCGCCAGCCCAGAGCTGCCTCCGGCCAAGCCCTGAGTACCAGGCGCTTGCCGGATCACGTAGGCCAGGCAGGTGCCTGGCTCGAACCCAGTACCCTCTGATACCACACACTGCTCTGGGTGTGGGTAAGGTAAAGGTAATGGGCCCAGGCACATGAAGGAATTTATGCAAAGTCACAAAGCTGACAATGATGGATCTGGGCTCCAGCTCAGGGAGCTGTTCTGTTCCGTCTGTGATGTTGGGACCGCCCCTCAGCTGCTATCTGCAGTTCCTATACGTGTTCCTGTTTGTATTAACAGGCTGAAATATGTGCTGAAGGTCACTACCCTTCTGTGTATTTCAGTTGTTCTGGAAAGTTATCAAGGCTTCTACTGAGGGTCCTGGGGGAAGTACTTAGGCTACAGATAGGACAAAGGTAGACTTTCAATCTCAGGCTCACCTTCAACGTGAATTTGTTTCCACTGCTGAAGCCTCTTGTCTTATTTCTAGTCGAGTAACTGCTCTAGAAACCCGGAGAAGGAAAACATAAGCTAAAGGCAGGAGTAAGAGTACGTGTATTCCAAGACACCAAGACACTCATCTGACTTTCCTTTCGACAGCTTGAACAAGGTTCAGCAAGCTCCCAAAGGGAGCCCTTTCTCGGGAGACCCTCTGACCCCCGCTAGGAAAGGTTGTTTCCCTGTAAAAACTGTGTAGGTAACTCTGCAGATAATCTAGAGTCATTTCCCATCTTTGGTCTTCATTACCTCTGCAGAGCCTCTTTTCCCATGTAAAGTAACAGATTAATAAGCCCCTAGGATTAGAAATGAACACCTT